GAAAGACCAAAATATCCCTCAACCATAAAAGAATTAGCTTGTTTTCACTAGATAAAAGAAAAAGTAAAGATTTAGAGGTAAATAGAACTGTATATTGGTCATAATCATTTTATTATCGGTTGAGAGTTTTTTTAATTGAAATGGATTTCTTCAACAAGACATTTTGACAAAATCACATATTAAAGTCTTTTACATTAAGGGGGTTTGTTAAGAGATTTGTAAAAGACCAGGAGAGTTTTTATAAGACACGCTAAGTCAAAAAGTGTTTTCTAAAATCACACCAAAGTTGAGAGATGTTATGTACAACACCTCTATAGTTAGGGAACTTTGTCAAATTAAATTAGTTGAGTGGTTTTTTGAGACATTTCTCATAGTCGAGAGAGTTTTCAAAAAACTAACTATTCTTTTAAATTTAGCTTACTTACATATCTCAAATGTTTTATAATTCAATATTAGTCCTTAAATTATAAGCAATTTCAAAAATTTAAGGAAATAATGTAGAATTATTAGAGATTTAAAATCAAGAAAATGATATCTAAATTACCTTTAAATATTGCTCTTGTAGGCAATATATGAAATATTAGCACTATATCGACTGATATAAAAGATTAAATACTTTATCTTGATAATATTTATGGTTTTATATTATTTTCTTTTTTTAGGGATTTTTTCTTATATATCGATTATTATCGAAAATATTGGTTGGTATAACAAAATCGAGTCATTTTTAATTTAATTGTGGGCTTGGTATTTGGTCGTGTGTAGAAACCAAAACTAAAAGCATAAGTCATAAAAGTCACAATTCATATCCCAAATCTCTTCACTTTCAGCTCTCTCAAATCTTAAGCATATATCTTGATGCAAATTCTTATGTTGAAAATTCATTAATATCTGAGATTATAGATTACAATGTTATATTATGTATATGCATTATCTCATATGACACCCAGATATTTTTTACATAAACCCCATTATTGCAATCCAATATCATAGATTTTATTTGTCCAGCATTTATATGATGCCCAACACTTTGTAGTAATCCTTCGAAAGCCTTTTCTAAAGCTTTCTAAGCAAAGTTTAAAAATTCAGAAATAATTCAAAATCTTAAGATTATTCAACACATGATGCATTAATTTTTTTTCACATCTCCTCTAGTACATAATATATAAGCTAACCCTCTGGCCTCATATTATACGATGAATATTATTTATCAAAGGGATCACATACTATTATTTGTGGTTAACAAAGGCTTTAAATCTTTATTGGCTTAATTAAATTAAATACTTTACAGTTTATAAAAGTTTCAATTACATATCTCCACTTGTATCTTGCTGCACTTAAATATCCTAATGTTTTTCAAAATTGCATGTCTGTACCTTCTATATGCAAGAATAATATTTGTAATTTTTCCTATACGAATATAATTGTATAATTTTAGGATAATTGTATATTTTCTACTCTTTCTATTAATAATGTATTAACATGCAATTGTCTATTAATATATTATTAGATATTACTAATAATTAATATGAGAGTTTTACAATAACATTGAAAGTTTTAGGGACCAAGTTAGACAAACTTGAAGTGACATATAATATGATTAATTAACAATAATAATTAATTTAGTTTACTTAGGATTAAAATATAATATTTAAAAAAATAGGGGTATTATAGTTCATAGAAAGTTTTTCTACAACTTTCTCTTTTGACGGGAGTATAATTCTAAGCGAAGTATATAATTTCATTTATAATTCAAAACCTTGAGACTTATTCAAAATATGATGCTTAAAATTTTCCACGTCTTCTGTACTATATAAATATAAGGGACCACATACTATTATGCGGTGAACATTATTTATCAAAGGGACCACATACTATTTTTTGTGGTTAACAAATGTTTCAAATCTTTATAGGCTTAATGAAACTTAAATACCTTATAGGTTACGAAAGTTACACTCATATACCTCCACTTATATCTTAATACACTTAAATATCCTAATGTTTTCTAAAGTTGCATGTTTGTACTAATTTATTAACTTGCAATTGTCTATTAATATAGTGTTATGCATTATTAATAATTAATATGAGAGTTTTATAATAACATTGGAAGTTTTAGGGCCAAGTTAGACAAAATTGAAGTGGCATATAATATGATTAATTAATAATGATGATTAATTTAGTTAATTTATGATTAAAATATAATATCAAAAAAGAATAGGGGTAATATAGTCCATGAAAAGTTTTTCCATAACTCCCTCTTTTAGAGGGAGTATGATGGCAATGAAATTCCATGTACAAAATTAGTAATTCATAATGCACATTATGTACCTCTGTGATGAACTTAGAGTAACCATTGTCGAATGATCACCAATGTTGCATTGGTACGGGTACAGGTATGGACATGTGTACGGGTACAGTTACCGAACACAACAAATTTGTAAAAAGTAGGGTATCAAATTGAGAAATAAGCTCATTCCTTAAAAAAACCTACAAATTGACTTCATATCATCAAGTTAGTGGATTCTTAACTCAAAAAATATTGTGCTACCCTCACCAAGATTATCTGAGATAAACAAGGTTCAAGGGTCTATGTGAAAAAACACCAGTCTAAAGGAAAGTGGGCTTTCGTGAGTAAACCAAAAAGCTAGTTGAACCCAATTAAACAGGCTAAATGATGCCCGGAATAAACGTTCCCACAACGATCAACGGCTCAGATCCTCCAACCCTAGAGCGAACGCCTCAGATCCACCCTCATCCCATTCCTACTTCCTATAAATGCCCTTCGTCATTCATCACCCCAAACCCTAACCCTAGAAAACTCGCCTCCCTTCAAATCCTCCCCTCAAAACCCTAATCTCCCCTCCCCCGCCGGCGCCCTCCCTTGCCGGAGCCCCTCAAACCGCCGCCAACATGTAGATTTTCGTCAAAATCCTCACCGGCAAGACCATCTCCCAACCCTCGTTGACGCTTCCCCGACCTCGTCGAAGCTTCCCCAACCCTCGTTGACGCTTCCCCGACCTCGTCGAAGCTTCCCCAACCTCGTCGACGCTTCCCCGACCTCGTCTTCGATCTCCGAGCTTCCCCGACACGTAGGAAATGAGCTGCTCCCGTGTCCCCTCTGTTTAGTTGCGGAAACGTACCCAAACCGCGCCCGACACGGGTATGGCGCCAAAATTGCCGTGTCGGGGTATCATAGATGATCACTCACTTCCGTAATGCCATCTATAGATCAATTGTATGTATTTTTCATTATAGAAAGAATTTTCTATAAGTGATTAGCTTGCACCTTTCTGCTAGACAAGTAGAATTGCAGCCTCACTTGAAGCACATGTAGGACCATGGAGGTTTTTATAGAGAAAAGACTAATGTCATTTCAAGAGATTGGTCTTTTCTCCTCCCCATGTGGAGTTTTCACTAGCCATGATTCTCCAGATTAACTATGCCAATAAATCCATATTAAAAGTATAGGACAAATTTCCAAAAGAGACTCATTTGAACATTTAATTGCAAAAAACGACCGCTTTTGAAGATATTTTTAAAAACCGACCTGGTTTCAGCCCTGTCGCTGAAACCATGTCGGTTTCTGAAAAAAAAGTTTCGAAACTTCACGGGACTTCAAGTCCCGTGAAGTTTAGCAGATAGATTGTTAAGCTACTAAACTTCACAGGACTTCAAGTCCCGTGAAGTTTTATTGTTCAAAAAATCTTCACGGGACTTCAAGTCCCGTGAAGTTAGTTTATCATACTCATTTCACACGGACAGCTTGTGACCGTTCTCTTTCTCCCCCACTCAAGCTTGTGCTCTCCTCCATGGCCCATGTAAGCTGCCTCTAAAAAACCCAAAAAAAGGGGGGAAAAGCAAAACAAATCCAACAAAGAAAATGGAAGAGGAGATGGAGGTGATGATTATGATGCCGACAGCAAGAGGATTTTGGAATCAAACCCCAGTCCTTGCAATCGGCCCTCCTCTGAAGCAGAAGCTCCTGCGTGCTCTCCGAGTAGATCCACA